GCCCCCCTTTCCAGCCCCCCCCCCCCACTGTGAGCTGCAGTGTCTAGGAGGGGGAGCATGTGAGACACAAATGAAGGAGGATTTGGCTCAGTCAGAAAGTGACACTAAACTCAGGAGTTAAATCTTAAAAATGCATTCAAGTACCTTAACTATTAACAAAATTGTATCTTACTTGTGCATCGCTCAGCTGTAGATCCTCAAATGATCTCTGAATTGGTGCTGACACTGTCCTTCCTTCTGGAGGGAGGCTACTTTTGTTCCCCATGGTCCCTGTGTGTGTTGTAAAGTAGCTACCACCCCAAGCTTAAGATTTGGTTCTTGTTGTCATACAGATGACTTTTGTTGCATTTTAACAAATCTTCAGCAAAAACGGGCTTCTCTCCAGCAAAGCAAACATTGTCACAGCACTAATTTCCTTTAATGGCAATAAAAGTCTAACAGGCATAGGAGATCAAAGGCCACAAGGCAGAGAGTCCAGGGCAGGCTGGGTCTTCCAGATAGCATGGCTTTAAGGGTTAAGAGCATGCAGATATGTGTCTTGTGTCAACACTCTCCAGACGGTCTCCTACTGTCACTCAGATCAGGAGTGAGTCACACTTGGCCTTCTGTCCACCTCTCTGTGGGCCACAATGAACCAAATAAAAGCAACTTTAACTGAGGAATGTGTGTGTCTAAAAGATGTGTCCGGGCTTGAGTTGAGTCACTCAAGTGACGCTCTATACCATTCCCTTTCACTCCTCCCTTCGAACAGCTGGCTCTGATTCTTGAGAAGCAGAACCAGCTGATAATCAAGCACTGGGGTGGATCCCAGGTGAACAATATTTTTGGGAGCCTTCCCAGCTGCAGTGCGGTTCTGCGCTGTCAGCATATAGCAGGCAGTAGTCCGCTATATGCTGACTTTGGGTCACAGGAAGACCTAAGTAAATATACTCCTGTGACCCAAAAGAGAAATAAAACCAAAAAAAGAATGAACATTATATATACACAACATTTTTCAGTAGCCTCTTGCAATATTTGTGGGTGTTTATTCAATCAAAAAGCACACTATACATCCAGCATGACGCAAACACCTTGACACATTTGTCACCTTTAGTAAGGTCTCATGAGTAAACGCCGAAAGTGCTCCCTAGCAGCACCGACACACTGTCGTCTACCTTGTATAGAAATGTTTATAGAGTTTTGTTATTGTAGAGCCTTGCCTCCCCATCGTTTCAAAATCAATGCCAACCACTTAGTTAGCATCTTGCAATTTAAAATCACCTTACTTCTGAAAGGTGGCTCTAAGTTTAACAAAATCAGTAACTTAGTAAAAATCAGCTAGTTCTTAGAGACATTGCTTATGATTCTTGTCAGAGAAGCATTCATTATCCCAGCTGTACAACACGTTTTTATGATGTCTCTGCAGGGCCATTTTTTACTTCGGCATAAATTCGGCTACAAAATTCACAGGCACATTAAATTTAAATGCAAATCCAACTTTATTATCAGACCTGTCATAAAAATGCTTTAGTACTTTCCAAGTTAACAAAAAATATAGACTTTTTTGTTAAATATAGGTATGGTTTTGTTGTGATTGCTTTAGATAAATATGTGTCATACTAGCAGGGTCATCAGGATCTTGCGGTACTCAACATAATGTGACAGACAATCCACTTTATATAATAGAGATCAATAATGTTTTTTGCAAATTATTTTCCAGTAATCAGGTCAATAAACCATCATGGCTTGGCAGAAAGCCATGCAGTTTCCAAAAAGCGGAGGTGAGGTTGCAGGCTCTTTATTACTATTAGGTTATCTTTAAAGTGAACTTTTGGTTTAAAGCTTGGCATACACATGGCAATTCTTTGTCAATTTCAACCACTTTTTGAATTACTGTATTGAATCACAATACAATCATAAGAAATCATCAGAAACTAACCGATCTACCTCCCACAAGTTCAATCAGCCACCTGAATTTGATTGTAAAGTCATAACCAGGGTAAATCATTGGTAGCCACCCTTCCAGATACACATTAGACTTGTATGGAGTTAAAAAAGTCACATCAGCCACTCTTTAATTTTAAATACCAAAAATAAATATCTATAAATAATGGTGTAACAGCATAACAAAATAATACAACATACTACTACACTATATAGTATATACAATATACACAACCAATTGGCCATACCACTTAGAGGACACCACACCTCTTCCACCTCCTTATGGACCACCCCTAGGGAATCCCTCTCTGCAGAATTTTCACCCAATCAGGTAAGTGACTCCTACTTCTGTGCTATCTCTGAACTGAAATTGTAACTCCTTGTGACCTAGCTCTCCTT